TCAAAGGCAGGCTGTACGCTTCTGGGGGAAAACAAGGGCTTTCTGAATTTCTCTGTTTCGAGGCTCACAGCTGCCCTCCGCACTCCCCACAGAAGGACAGCTGCACCCCTGGTACAGCCTGGCTAATCGCATCCCTGGGCTTGGTCCGGCAGGGCTGGAGCACAAAGCAGCGTCTTCTTATCAGCAAGAGCATCTCTCATCCGCCATGGGTTTTGCCTTCTCTGCGTGGCGTGCCTGGATGGCTGGGGGCAAGGCACAAGCTGGAGATGGACCATGTCCGTCTGTCCTGGTGGGAGCACCTTCCTTCTGTCTGCACACCCGCAGTCTGCCGGGGTTCCTTGGTGTGGCTGGCCGGGACCCGGCCGGCACCCCGGGGGTCCGGCACCGCGGTGCCACCGTGCTCAGCCAGCTGCAGTGAGGTGGAGGAGAGGTGAATTTTTCTTTATCTCTGTGCTGCACCTTTGAGCAAATTAAAAGGGCTTTGGTGTGTTAGTGAACCCTTATGGCGTGGCTGTAATGAGCGATTTCTCAGTTCTGCCTGGCTCTCCCTCAGCTGAACCTTTTTAAATTAGCTGAAAATGAGAAGCTGGAGAGCAGAAGTGAGAGGGAGCAGAGGGGTTGTCTGGCCCTTCCTCCTGGGAAGAGCTCTGCTAATGAAGCTTTGCGAGGAGGCTTTTATAAAAACAAGTCAAAACTTAAAACTACACGCGAGCGCTGAAGTTGGAGGGTATAAAATCCCTGTTGGGGGGGGGCTGTGTTGGGGTGCACAGAGTGGGTGGTTGGCTCCTTGTAGTCCTGGACCGGAGCATGGTGGGAATGTGGGGCCATAGTCAGCCAAAGCCAAGGACATCTGCTTGTTCCTCACATTACTTGAAAAACCCCATTAACTGTAAAAACAGGGCAAAACAGTCACATTTCTTCTGTAATGAGTTGCTTTCCTTCTCACTTTCACCAAAGTCTACCATTTCTGCATACAGAACGAATGGAAATTATCATTAAAGGTGAATTATGAGGGCATTTAAAAGGAAGGATAAAATTTATGGCCAGAGATACTATTACAAAATACTTCCAGGATAGGTAATTGTGTAATTATTATGGGCAGAAATGAAAGTGATGGTTCATTAAAAGAAAATGACCGTGAAATAACAATAAATAAAGCCAAATTAAAGCCGTGGTAATTGCATGGCCTGTCCTGCTGTGTGTTGGTGGGTGCAGGGCACAGGGGTGCGTGGTTCCCGGTCGTGGCTCCCCGATGGACCAGGCTGCGAGGGACGAGCAGTGTTGTCGCTGCCCACGTTCACATTAGGACGCGGCCTTTCTGCAGAGCCCCGAGTGCCTCTGCCCTGGTCCCAGGCTGGTGGCATCGCTGGAGAGCGAGTCCTGGGGCAGCTCCTCAGGTCCTGCCCTTTTGTCTCCCAGGCGGTGGGAACAGGAGAGGGGCAAGGACCACTTTGGCTGGAAGCCGGTGTGGCCGTGCCCGGCTGGCAAAAGCCATGAGGTTGGATTTGGATCAGCATTTCCCAGCAGGGATGTGAAAATGCAGCTGCAAGGCAGAGGGATCCCCCTAGCACCTGGGGAGAGATCCCATTTCCCTGAGCATTCATTTGAGAAAGTGAAGTGGCTGCTTTCCAAAAGCTCCTGGAAGGCAGGCAGTGTTTGCTGGTGAGCGTGGGTACGTGCTGGGGACCCCCAGGAGCGCTTGCCGTGACGCAGGTCAGCTGCCCCCCGTCCCCTTCATGTGGCAGTTCCCACAGAGTCAGGGCTGGACCCCAGGGATGTGGAAGGGGCCGAGCGCTCGCTCCTGAGCTGAGGGTGCGGAGCAGCCAGGTCTGACGGCCTGATGCGTGCTCATCTGCATGCATTTCGGGATGGCACGCTGCAGAAACACAGCTTCCCCGTCCTCCTCACAGCCTGGCTGCCCCTCACTGCAGAAATAAAAGCCTGTTCCCGGTGACCCAGGGGATGTCTCCGTGCGTGGCTCTGCGCTCGCTCCTCCAGTGCTCATTAAACAGGACCTGCAGGGATCACCCGCTCTCGGGTCATGGGAATGAAGTCTATCCAGCCCTCTTTGGCTAATTTGCATTGTGCTTGTGTGGGCCATTACCCAGCGAAAGTCATTGATTTGCGATGCTAACTAGCTTCTAAACCCGGATCCCAGAGGTGATAAGCCAACACATTAGTTTTCTTTCTTCCTTAATATTTTAATGGCACTGGGAGGGGGAGCAGCAGAGCAGCCCAGATTTCTGATGAACACCGTGTCATTTCTGTGTCACCGCAGGGTGGAAATGCGGTCCTGGTCCTCCCTCCTCCAGCCAAAGGGTGCTGCGTGATGGCAAGACGGGAGCGTTGGTGTTAGCTGGGCAAGAGGTGGTGGTACTCTGTTTGAAGCCAAAGGCGGCACGACACGCCATCCCCTCTTGTAGCAAAGCATGCATCTCATTATTGGCTGCAATTAACTCATGCGCTCATTTGTTTCAATAAAACTCTTGGCTTGGCCGTGGCAAGAGGCTGTTAATTTTGCTGGATAGGATGGGTGTGAGGGCTGTTAGGAGGAAGACCTCAGATGCAGGAGGTGTGGAGCAGGACCAGTGCTTCCCCCACGGGAGGGCTGGGGAGATGCTGGGCCGAGCCGTGTGTATGTCAGCAGCAGCCCTGCGGCGATTGCCAGAGGCCGGGATGGCTCTGCCTGCGCTGGGCTCTCCTGGTGCCTCGGTCGCGGCACACACTGGCAGCGCTGCCCGGGGACGGTGAGCAGGGGGTGGCATGGGGGCTCTGG